TTTTACAGCTTAAAATTGCAACAGTTTCAAAAAATTTTATTCATTTCCTTGAGCCAGTATGTGCTAAAATGACCCTTAGCGTGTTAATGGAAGGCCATCCAGCCCCCATCGCCCCCTGTGGCCAGAAGACTGGCGGGCCGCTCTGTTGGACAGTCGGCTTCCAGCAGGTTTCCTCTGTTTCAGATCATGAACACAGCTGATCTGTTTACTCTACTCCTGTAGACACCACTGAAGGCTGGGAGACATTTCAGCTGTAAGATTAAAGCTAAAAGATGAACAAACAGCGAGGAGGTAAGTTTTGTTTTTGGTTCTACAAACGGACACCAGGGGGTGCTAAAAACAAGCCAAAACAGCCTAGTTCCTCTTTCACACCTAATTCAATGGTTGCTCAGCCCCTCATCAAACTCTGCAGAAGGCATGAATTCTGCTCTCCAGCAGAACATCCTGAAGGACAATCTGACCTTTGACCTCAAACAGGTTGCTCATGCTGGCAAACCCTTCAGCGTGGCTCATCATAAACAAGTCTGTAAAGAATAGTGGGCATAAATTACTCAAGTGACTAACAAGTAAAAACAGAAGAAACTATTTGAGGAGGCAAACACGTCTCTTGGTTCTGCGCAGAGGTTGGTCAACTCACGGTAAATTTACAGCCAACCACTCAACCTATATATAATCTCCAAAGAGGGATAAATGGACTTCCAGGGTTTCATTTGGATAAGAAATGAGGCACAGCGAAGAAAACCGATATGTCATCATTCCTGTGTGCTCAGGACAGGCTGTGAATGGCTTTTAAGAACACCATTTATTACGCCTTACACTCCACTGTGTACCCCTGGTTCCTCTTAAAATGTCCAATTGCACCTCAGCCGGTCATGAATCAAGATGTGGTCTCACAAAGCCCTGAGGAGCGAGCCTGAGGGAGGAAACATTAACCGCACCATCGGCCCTCTGCAGCAGCACCGTGATGATGTTGTTATCTTTAACATGTCTTTATTAAAGGAACACTGTTTACTTCTAGTTTTTCTTCATTTTCTCCAATTAAACGTGCCTAGTTTTCTTCCTCTCTATGAAAAGAAAAGTTGATGTTTTTCTGCCTCTTTAATGCAAAACGTTGATTTCTACTTCAAATTCAAGCCAAACTCATTCATTAACTCAGGTTTCATTTAGAGGCTTTTCTGCTGCTTTTAGTGGCAAAGCATGACTTTAGATCATTTTGAAATTAAAAGGAAAATTGATTCTGTGTGTGTTTGGGTAACAATTAAAGCTGTCAAAGTCAGCAGGGGGCCACTGTTTCACCATCTCTAAACATTTAATTAGTAAGAGAAAATGGCAGTTAGCCTTAGCTCTTGTATAAAGGGATAGTTCAGCTAGTTGAGATGGACTCCACCATTTAACCCTCTGGAGGCAGGCGTTGCAGAGGTGCAACGTTAAAACCTACCTACCTGCCTACTCCACATGCGTATTTCATGAGCATTTTTAACTCAGAAGTACCCTGAAGGGCTTAGTTGTTCATCCTTTTATCAAAACTTATTTTGAGCCTGAGAGGGTTGAATAAGGAAAGTCCCATATTATCGGTCTAACATTAATATTAGCATTACAATGTAACATTGGAAAATATCGTATTGGTTTTTACTCTTTTTCCACCTTCACATACCATGCACATACTATACATCAAACTCATGGGCTTCATCTCTTCTCTCAAATTTTCAAAATATGACAGATTGAAGGTTTAGTTCTTGAGATGTTGCAGTTTTATTTAGCACAACTTTTGAATTTGTAGGAATCAGCCTGCTGCAGAGAGGAACTGCAGTCCTTCGCTGTGGGAGGCTGTAGTTATGAGGGTCGCCTGTGGAGCTATGTACTGTTAAAATACAACCAGAATCTCAGACCACTGCGATCGGAGTTGGGCGCCCGGGCCACTTACGTCAGCTTGTGCTCCACTTCTTTCCCAAGGTGGAAGATCAGTGGGAAATTAGCTACACACTGATGGAATTTTTTGGGAGCTTTTAGCAAGAAAACTGCGGTTGAACGACGCCGAAGAAAAGGCACCTCCAGCCGGGAGCTTTGAATAAAGCATTAAATTAGAAAGCTTTATTGTCATTGTACAATATATAACCTTTTCTGGTTGAAGCAGCTAGTCATGACTTTACTGTTGAAATAGTAATTTGCTGCTTCTAAAAAATACAATTGTGTCTGGGGGCTGCTGTATCCAGCAAATCCAACATGGCAGCCCTTTATGGAACTAAGATTGGGAAATTATTGCATTTAACTTGTACCATGTTTTGTAACTGTGATTTTAGTTTTGTTACATATAATGTTTGCTTTGTAACGCATAACTTTCATTTTGTAACACGTAACATTAGTTTTGTTACATGTAACTTTAATTTTTTAACGCATAACTTTCGTTTTGTAACGCGTAACTTTCATTTAGTAACATGTAACTTTCATTTTGTTACAAAACGAAAGTTCACCAATGGTCAGCTTTCCCCGTGGGGTCACACCCATTAGGACAGTGGGAGGGTCAATAGAGCCATGCTGAGTGAGGTGGAGGAATCAGAAACTACAGAAACAGCTGGAGTTAGTGGACGTAAATTAGCAGGGTTAGATCCACGGTGTTTATAAAAACCACTCATGGAGGGAACAGGAGGAGAAACCACTAAAGAATGAGAATAAACAGACCTGGTGAAACATGAACAGAGAAACTGCGCCGCAACACGGCCTGGCGGGAATGCGGAAGTGGCGCTCTGGTCACCAAACCATGGACAAGAAGCTTAAAGATCACGCCAATGTTTACCAGATAAACCACGCTTTAAGAGAAGTCTTATTCTCACCTGGATTCCTGCCCGTTTACCCCTTTTCCCTTTCGACATTTTCCTGGAATCGGATATAGATCGCTGGAGGCGTTTGGGTTAGGTGCTGCTCACGTAAACAAGTAGGTGACAGATAAATCGTCGGCATGTCTTGGGCGACCGCAGGTGAACAGAAGGAGACGACGGCCAGGACACTACCAAAGAGGATCACAGACAGAAGCAAGGGGGAAAGAAGGAGGTTAGTAGAAAAAAGTTTGAGAAAGTGGCCGGTGACCATGGCTAAACTAATCACGGGCGCCATCTTGTTTCCGTCTAGTGCATTGGTATTCAATTCCAGGCCTGGAGGGCGGGTATCCAGCAGGTTTTAGTTTTAACTCACCTGATTTCAATCAGCAGGTGATTAACAGGCTTCTGCAGACCCTGATGAGCAGCTGCACAGGTGATTCAACCACTGAATCAAGTGTGTTGGAGCAGAGAAACCACTAAAATGTGCTGGGTACCGGCCCTCAAGGACTGGAATTGAACATCCCTGTTCTAGAATTTCCAAAGAGCAGATATAAAAGTCAAGGTGCTTGCTCCTTCCAGGCCGTTGCACCCCGACTTTGGAACGAACTTCCTGTATTCCTGTTTCATTGGAAAACACAAGGCTTTAATAATGGCTCATTTAAAAACCTTTGCACAAACTTCATAAACTTTTTGTTTTTACGTACAGACGCTCTAAATATTCTATTGAATCCAAAACTGTTCTTTTTGACCCAATATGTTATCAGATATACTGAATATACTATATTAACATTATTATTAATTTATCAGTAACATAAGTTTCTTTATCCTGGGTTTTATGGTCAGAACAACAGTTATCTTTCATTTATACCTCATTAAAGTGAGTTGATCCCAGAAAACTTCTCCACTGATCAGACTGATTCATATTTCAGGCTTCATACACCTTCATCGGCTAATTTTACAGCAGATGTTGTGTTTTCTCTCAGCACACCAGCTGATTCTGCTCCACTGAAAACTTTTTGTCTCGTTTAACCCAAAAGGACAACAGAAAGTTAAACCTCACACTAAACTAATGGAACTGAACCGCTGCCCACTGCATTTTGAACCTGTAGCTTTTCCTTCTGGTGCCTTTCACAGCCTGCAGGGAGGTGACAGCAGATATTTCCCCGGTCGCTGTTGGGGAATTCTCAAGCTGAATTAGCAGCGGTAGCTGCTGTCTCGGGCCGTTTTCATCACAACAATGGAGCATGTAATTGTTCTGTACACATGCTCCAGGGCCAACAGCAATATTTACCCTGCAAACACCCCTCACCCTGGAGTCTTTCATGCATGCAAACACATTTATTCCGGGATTCCTTATCTGGTACCATGAAGCAGGCAGGTTTTTGCGGTGCCGTAGCACTGTGTAGTTGTCTGTGCACCGCTGGCATGTGCTTAATGGTGCCACCAGAGACATGCTCTTGTAGTGGCAGATAGAAGCTAAAAGGCAGGGTGGTAGACATGTGGATAAATGCATCTTTGCGGCAACATCAAATATTACAGATTAAAAGAAGACTTCCTCCTGAAGCCTCTCATCGTGTTGTGGTCCTCAGCCTGGTTGTGGAGAGGACGAGTAAATACTGAAAACACCGACGACCGTGTCATGTTTCAGCTCTGCACACGGTTTCCTTTTGTCTAGGATTTCCGTGATCTCAATCTGTCATTCCGTCCTGCTCTGCTCCATGTGCAGCTCTCTGCAGAGGGAGGACCGGCACTTAGAAAAACACCCTCATTATTTAGCTGTGTGGAGTTATTTCTGACAGCAGCTCATCACAGAGGCTTCAGATTAGATGGAGGGACCACACATGCACAACCTTTGACCTCTGATGGGATTTTTACAGGAAAACAAGGTGTCAAAAAGACAATAATAAGCTGATTAGTGCAGAAAGCCTGGTGTTGCACCAACACACTGCCCCCTGGTGGCTCTGCCTGAGACAACAGGCCGACATGCTGGGAGAAGACTCCATTTTCTTTCCTTTATAACAGGGTATTCAATTCCTGGCCTGGAGGGCGGCTTTCTAGCACGTTTTAGTGGTTCTCTACTCCGGCTCACTTCATTCAGTGGATGAATCACCTGTGCAGCAGCTCATCAGGCTCTGCATAACCCTTTAAATCACCTGTTGATGGAAATCAGGTGTGTTGAAACAGTAAAAACTAAAACGGGCTCCAGGACAAGAGTAGAGTACCTCTGCTCTTTAAGGACACACTAAATTCTGGAAAGGGACAACCTTTGTGAAGTATTTGAAAACTATTTTAATATATTTCTTTTCCTTCTTTTTCAACTATTTAAAATTAATTTTTTACATTTCAAACCTGTGTTTCTAATTTTCTTAAAGTAGTTGGTTTGGCTGTAAATGAAACCAAGTACAGTCTCTAACTAAAAGCCTATTTTTATGTAACTGTTTTAATTTAAGGGTGAGCTAGCTCATGACCAGGGGTGGGAATCGAAAACAGGTTCTTGTGGAGAACCGGCTTCCACTGTTTGAATTTCTAGAAACTGTTTGTCATTTTTGCTACAATTCCCTTACCATTCCCTATCGGCGTGAATGATGTCACCACATATGCAGGTAAAGGACAAACGGGAGTGGCCGGGTCAGGTGACAGAGCTCCATCCGAGTCTGTCATAGTCAGTCTCTGGGGCTGACGTATGGAGTGATTTGAGTCATTTAGACTCTGATCCATAACTAGAGAAAGTCCCCCAGTCAAGGTCGGATGTCAGGTGTTGTGTGTATGCAGGTAGCAGCTTCAGGTTGTGCCATGGTGTGCATTAATGAGGCGTGTTGTCATGGTCTGCATGTCGTCATTTGTATTACACGGCCATCAGGCAGAGTCAAAGCAGAGACAAACTCTTACAACCAGTCATGTTCCAGTGTTTAGTCTTCCAAGTCAGCAACCCGAACGCCTCCCCTCTCATAGGGGTCTGTTCCCCTGTCACAGCCACCAGACTGTAGTTGGTGGGGTACACCCTTGTGCTGTCAATCACACCTAACCAGCTAACACCCACCCCATCCATCCAAGCAGCATCGCCTGCACACCTCGATCTCCCACAGCCCCAGAAGATGGTTGGGACACTGAACTCATGTTGTCCCGTTTATGAGTGGTTTCCCTGTTTCAGTGGTGTTTGAGGTGGTGTCCTGGCTGGCCACAACCTCAGCATAATCACCGGTTCTGTCCTGGTAGCCGGTCCTCCTTGGCAGCCATGGATCAGACCAGTTGGGTCAGTCGTGCAGCCAATGGAGGTTCCACAGAGGGGCCTGCTGCGGTGCTCACAGCTCTCACGTCCAGGGTAACACCAGGCCAAGGTAAAAGCATTTCCCACTCCATCACAAGTTCCAAGGCCTCCTGGAGGGAACCAGAGTCAGTCAATAAGGTTTGGATCCGCAGTTCATCTGGTATCAAGGCTTGGAGGAAGTGGTCTTGAATTAGCTCGAGCTACTAGAATGGCAGGTGGCATGTGGGCATCAGTGCAGTAGACCAGACCTTCAAAGTTGTTAGCCAAGGCCCTCGGCGGCTCTAGTTTGTACTGACGGCTGCAGAGTTCAGAGCGGAGCACACTGGCAGTAGAACACAGGCCAAAAGGCCGGTGTATTGCCCCATAGTCCACTTTGTCGCCCGGGCTCAGCAGCAGCAAGCAAGACGAGGTGTTCCCCGTGAGAACTGACAAGGACGCCCCTGTTCTGACAGTGCCTGGTAGGACGTTCCACCTCTGTTGAACACCACATGAGAAGAGTCTGGATTGTTTTGGTATGGAGGAGCACACAGCATTCCTGGCAGAAGAAACCTGCCGGACACTTGAATGTCTGTTGGCCTCTGGCATTGCTGAGGCAGGCTGTGGACAAATGACCTTGTTGGACTTCTCCACACTACACCTGTGATGGTTATGCTAGAGAGTGGACAAAAGGAAGCCATGGTTGACCGTGTCAGATGCAGCCGATAAGTCGAGGGTTAGGATTTGCCAGTCGTCCTAGCTTCTTTTAAGGATTCAGTCACTGCTAACAGAGCAGTTTCAGTGGAGTGGCCCTTTCTGAACCCAGACTGGTAAGGGTCAAGCTGACAGTTTTGTGAGAGGAGTTCTGTGATCTGCTTGAAGACCGCCCATTCAGTGATTTTGGACAGAAAAGGGAGGAGAGAGATAGGTCGGTAGTTCTCCACGTGATTTGGAGGAAGAGATGGTTTTTTAGCAGCGGTTTAACCTGAGCATGCTTGAGAGAGGTGGGAAATGTACCGGATGTCAGTGAAGCGTTGATCACATGTGTGACTGCTGCGACTGCTGTAGGAGCAATAGCTTGGAGCAGCTTAGTCAGAATGGGGTCAAGTGGGCATGTACAGCGCTACCAAGACCGGACTGGGCCAGGCAACATGTGAAGACGCCAAATATGGCGACAAGGCAACTGGTACATTATAAAACTGGACATTCTAGACATTCTAGATGTAAAATTCAATTCTGACAGTTTTTTATTGCTGTAACTTAAAAAGGCTAAGTCAATAAGGAGTGCATAGTTTATGAATATGTGCAGCAGTAATGAGAACACTCTCATTACTTTTTCTTGGTGTGGAGGTTAAAGGGTTAAACCAAGTTTCAAAGGTCAAACTAGAACAGTATTACATTACAGGGAAGCTAATGATTTAGGACATTGTTTCCTGGACACATTTGAACTAGCTGTTAGCTCATCAGTCCTGCGGATCATCAGCTCTATTTCCCTAAACAGAGGCTGTTCAGGAAGCCATCTATAAAACGTAACGGCTCCTGCTGAGCAATAACACCACAAACACAAGCGTGACTGGACGCTGCTCCCACCACCTGCTGTGTGAAAGATCACCATTAGTTTTACATTTTCCTTAATATCAAAAGTTAATTTACAACATAGATTTGTGACTTTGTCCAATCAGCAAACAGGACCCCTCACACCAGCAGTCCAGCAGCCGTCAAGCTAAAACTAAATGCTTGAATTTGTGAGACAGAATGAAGATCGGACCTGGAGCTATGGAAAAAGGTCATGCGGCTTGAGGAGTTCACCAGGAAGAGAACTGATGACGTTGCACCATCGGGTCTGATGAAGCCTTCAACAATTCCTCCATGATGCTCCATGATGATGATGATGCATGAAGGTGGGCCAAGCATTGTCTGAAAAGTCAAATAATCATTATTTTCTGTTGATAGACACATTATTTACTCTTCAGCACAGATGCTAAATGGTCTTCATATCAGGTCATTTTCCAAAGACAAACAGTTCCTGCATCTCGTAGCTCAGCAGCCAGCGGCAAGCCATTTTAAAACTCAATTAGAGGCTTTTCATATGGGTTTGTGTTACACGAGCTCGCTGATTTGATTAGCACCTCCTAAGTTTGAAGAACAAGTTTGTGAACCTCCTAAGAAATGACCAAGAAGAACTTTACTAAGGCTTCACTGAAAACACAAACAAACCACCCTGGGTTAGAATATAAAGCCTCAGCCATCAAGATTAGGAAGAAAAACACGGTTTCAGGTCATCAACAACTCAACGCTGTGCTGCGAGGGCTGTCAGGGCTCGTTTAGAGCCACTCTGCTGTGGGAAGCCCTCTGAATCTGTAAATACGGGATGGAAGATCTCACACAGCAACAGGCCTCAGAGGTCCTAAAAACAAATGATGGATGATGAAACCGCCACAGCCACACCTCATCTCACCGAGTTATTGCATTTATGGGTCCAGATAGAAAAGAATATAAAAGCAAACACATTATTCCATAAAAGAAATTCCTTTTCTTGTTTTCTCACTTTTCCAGAACTAAAAATCAATAAAGCACAAGTCCAGAATAAAGACTTTATTACAGAGTAGATAGCTACATGTAAGAAAAAACAGCAGGTAAATACTTCTGCGACCACGTTTGACGTTCTCTGAAGGAAAAACAATCAACAGCTAACTGTCAATCCATTCTGGTATCCTTACAGAAAAACCTCAAACTGGACTGAAATGATGGTCCTCCAGGAGAAGAACTGAGACAAGGTGTCCACAAGTACAGTTAAACTCAGGTGTGTCCTATAATCAGTGTCTTCAGTCTAGTAATCAGACTGAAAAGTACAGTACTGGCTGGTATCAGGGAGAGTACTACACTGAATATAGACAGATTATAAATACTATGAACACAAGAAAAACTAACTCAAATAAATCATATAGAAACCAGAACCACAACAAAGAAGTATGGGTTAAAAAGGTCATTTGTGTGAGTAATTCAACTAAAAAGGTGAAATAATATACGTGGAAGACTCATCACATGCAAAGCCACAGGTTTCAAGCCTTTATTTGAGATAACTGTGATGATTATGACTTACAGCTAATGAAGACTCCACATTCAAAAGCTCTTAAAATAAGAATATTGAGAAAATGTCCAGTATTCGAGGCTCAAAGTGTCACACTCTAATCATCTAATGAACCCGGAATACCTGCAAAGGGTTCCTGAGCCTTTAGATGGTCTCTCAGTCTGCATTTGTCTTCAGCCTTGTCCTTAAGCAAGAAGTTCAACACTGCGTTGTCCTCCGTTTGTAAGTTGCTTTGGGAATAAAAAGGTTACCTTAATGAATGCACCTGAATGAATGTTTAAGTCCTCACAGAACGCCTGCAGCAGCATTGTATGGCTTTATGGATTCTAGGTTGCTGGAGGCTGTTTAGACCCCGAGGCTGCAGACCTACTCCCTACCTCAAGGTAAACATGGATTAGATGAGCTCATGTTTGTACTTTCTAATCAAAATCTGTTTTATTCTCATGTTTGTGGTACACGCTCAGACTAATTCACTCACCAAAGAGAGAAACATGCCATTTTAAAGATGAACGACCAAACGAACGAACGAACGACATAACAGTCAGTAGGAGCAGAGCTCTGTAGCTGGTGAGTAGTGCAGACCAAGCTCTGACACCGGTCATACAGAGACCTAACAGCCCGTATCAGAGGGCCTGGTACCCAGGGGCGTCGGACTGGGGGGGGAAAGGGTACCGTTTACCCAGGGCCCACTGCAGGGAGGGGCCCTGAGACAGCTTTGAATAAATGTTTTTATTGTTGTTTTTTCCCCCCCAACTTACTTAATGTCTTAATAAACTTCCCTTTACCTGGATAAAGAGGTTAAGAAACAGAATTTCGCCTTAAAAATAATAACTGAATAATCTCTGAGGCATCTATCACCCCTTAAAAATGTGCAAAGTGCTTTAGTCCACACCAGCGGCCAGGGGCTGCACGGCCGCATGTACAGCTAAGAGACATCGCAGATGCCGACAGCCAGAGCTGGAGGCAGGAGAGTCAGTCATGTCTTTTCCCAAGAAAGGGAAATCTGGCTTCCAGAAAAGAAAAGAAAAGAAGGAGAAAAAGTTAATTGAACAGAAGCAAGTATTGACTAGGTTCTTCAAGAAGGAAGGTGAGCAGCAGCAGCAGCAGCAGAACACAGTTTTAGCTGATATTAGCTAGCTCTCAGAAGCTGCATTCATGTTAGGTGTTCAGTGTTAAACACCTTTAGTTTCACCATCAAGATCAAATATAAATTAATTAGTGTTATCAGTGAAAACACTAATTAATATATATATATATATATATATATATATAAATCAGAATTATTATCGCGGGCGGCCGCCGCCAGTTAATTGGCGGACCTCGCAGTAAAAACAGGTTCACTCTGTGTGGATATTTCAGCTCCTTCCCAGTCATGGACCAGGACAAACTTGGTATCGATGGATTTGTGGTAATCTCAGGAATGAGAAGCTGCCACTGTTTTTCCTATAGCATGATGACACTGGTGTTAGAGGATTGTTATTGACTTGGTTAGATATTTTAAGCCTATTTTAAAATTCTTTATATTTGATCTTGAAAACGGACAATCTTATAATTTGGCTGATAATGCAGGGATTATAAAATTTAGAGTACATTACATTCACAGAGAGAACCTGGTTTATTTCATGTCATATGTATTTAATATATCAATACATATCAGCAAAGCTTAACATCATGAACCATGACAGACATGACTGAAGAGCAGATGAAGACATCATGCCAGGCACTGATGAGAAAATATTACAAGGATCTCACAGCTGAATTTGAGAATGAGATGCTACACCTGAGAACGATATATGGTGCCACATTTCCACACATTCGGTCTCCTCTTGAGCTGCTTAATGCCATCTACAGGATGCAATTAGAGAGCATTTTTGGAGAAGTTTGTATTGGACTGAGGATATTTTGCACACTACCTGTGACTGTTGCTGGGGGTGAACGGGCTTTTAGCAAACTGAAACTGGTGAAAAATGATTTGAGATCAACAATGTCCCAGGATAGACTGAACAGCCTAGCTCTTCTTTCTATTGAAAGCCAATTAGCCAAAGGATTGGACTTTAAAGATCTCATAAGTGATTTTGCTAACATGAAGACCCGTCAGTGGGCATTTACTGGAAAATAAATTCCAGGATTTTTGTTTGAACACATTGTTGGCAAATAAAAATAATTATATGTGACGTCTGGGCATTTCACTTGTATTATGCTGGCATTTGTATTTGCTCACTATAGAGGTTAAACTAAGATCATATTTATTATCTCGTCTTATAGCATGACAAGAAATGTGTAAGAGAGATATTAAGTAATTGAGCATGGGGGCCCACCTAGAAGACTTGTACCTAGGGCCCAGAATTTGGTGCTACGCCCCTGCTGGTACCCCATACTGCCAGAGTACCCCCCACAGGGCCCCCCGAGGGACGTGGTCGATCACCTTCTCCAAATCCACAAAACACATGTAGACTGGTTGGGCGAACTCCCACGCACCCTCCAGGATCCCTCTAAGAGTTAAGAGCTGGTCCAGTGTTGCACGGCCAGGACAAAAACCACCTTTTCCTCCTGAATCCGAGGATTTGACACTCAGATGGACCCTCCTCTCCAGAACCCCAGAATAGACCAGGGAGGCTCAGAAGGGCGATCCCTCTGTAGTTGGAACACACTCTGCGGGCCCCCTTTTTAAATGGGGGGGCCTCAACCCCATTCTGCCAAACTGCAAAACCACGTCAACCACCACAGCCCAACAAAATCCAGAACCTTAAGGAACTCCGGGCGAGTTTGTTGGATACCTGCTCTCCTAGGATCCTGAAGGAAACTCTTTACTGAGGCATCAGTCAAGGGTGTCAGAAGCATAAAAACGCCAAAAACCGGCCCTCATGACTGTCTGAGACCCACTGAACCAGAGTCTTTTAGGCACTTCTTAAGACACCATGAAGAAACAATGACGCGTCAACAGTGCCGAGAGGGTTCAAACTAACTATTTGGGGGGGGTGCACGTCCCACTCTGACATGATGGTTGGGACTAGGGTTGTCACGGTAACCGGTGTAGCGGTAAAGCCCAGTAAAAAAGTTGACAACAACTGTCTTGTTTTTAAAACTATTATCTTTGTGGGTTTACCGTGGCTGCGGTGTAGGCGTGGTGACCCTTACCAGCCACCGTATCATCTGCTGAAGTTGCCGGCGGCACATGCGCACTTTGTTGTTTACAAACAAAACTTTCTTGAAGCTAAAGCTGAAATAATGGCCAAAGGAGGAGACGGCAGCGCTCAGGACATTTATTATCCCTCAAAGAAGACAAAGTGGGAAGTACGGGTATGTTTTGGATATCTGAAGAATGTCGAGGGACAGCTGATAGAAGACGGCTATCCTGTTTGCAGCACGAGCAGAAAAAGTGTCTGTGAAAGGCAGCAACGCTTCAAATCTCATGACACATCTGCGTGACCATCACCCACAACTCTACAGTCAACGCAAGGCAAGCTAACGTTAGCGTTTTAGCTAAAATGCGTGATCCGAGGATTTGGGTTGAGGGAGAATGCAACGAGTCGCTATATAAAGCAGCCGCAGCGCCGCTACCTGCATATAAACCGTGTCGCGGACACCGCCATGTTGAAATGACGCTATGCATTACGGGGCTCCCAGGGGCAGATAAGAGTTGGTCTCTCTCCGAGAATAATTATGAATTTAACAATGATTACTGCCTGATGACATTTTCCCACATCTGCAAAGCTCACTGGAAGGACACAAACCGAGGACAATATTTCCTGACATACAGGGTTTATTTAGTTGTCTGAAAATGTAGCACGTTTAAAAAAAATACCGCAATAATACCGAAAACCGTGATAATTTTGGTCACAATAACCGTGAGGTTACACTTTCACGCCGTGCCACCCCTTGTTGGGACGCCAGTGGCATCCCTGGTGCAGAAGGATGTGTGCTCAGCTTGTGACCTTCAGAATTCCATGATCAGCTTCTTCATCTTGTCCATTTTGAACACCAGATTGTTGTTGATGCATCAGGTGATGACACAATCAACCACACTCCTATACGATGATTTGTCATTATTACAAATGAGTCTCCCTTTTCTGTTGTCATTCACAAACTGGATGACCAGATTCCCCTCACAGAAAAAAACCACCACAGGTCAGCAGTGTAAACAGCAGAGGGCCGAGTACACAACCCTGAGGGGAACCATTGCTTAGCCTCAGCTACTTGGTGCTGCTGCGGTGTTGCCAGCCTTCCTGACACTCTTTGGAGTGTTTTCTCAGAGGGTTCCATCTAGAGGTTCAAAACTGTATTGCACCTTAAGCCCCTCTCCCAGCTTCCGTGAGTTGGAAGCAACGCTTTGCATTCTCCAACAGATACATCTAGCATGCCAACAGAGCTAAAACAGTTTTACATTTGTTATTTTTACATTATGCTGTTTATTGATACATGCATACTTAAGACTTGTCCATCAGAAATGTCGCCAACTGCATCAGTCTAGGTTTGTCTGCATCATGTCCTGCGATGGACGTCTGTACGTAAACCTACATCGGGGCAGGAAGTCCTGGTCCCCGAGTGCCGTCAAGCATGTTTTAGATGTTTCCCTGCTCCAACATACTTCATTTTATTCAGTAGGCGATTAACTGATGGAACCATGAGTTCTGCTCCCTACGGGAAATCATAAAGAACATCTGACCTTTGACCTTAAACCGGTCACTCATAATGGAACAACCTCAACCCAAATCTGTGAAGTCGCGACAAGAACAGCTTTAACATTTGAAAACTAGAGGAAGTAATTGTTGTTATTGTGTGTGTGTGTGTGTGTGTGTGTGTGTGTGTGTGTTTTAGTCCGGCCCTGGCCTCATTTACATGATTTCTCTTGTTTGTCTTGTGTATCAGCTTCAGACTGAATTAGCAGCAGAAGTCCAGACAATTCCCCGACTGAGAAACACGAGATTGGTTGAAACACTCATCG